CCCCCCGCGCTTCCCAGCAACGGCCTCCCATGACCCTGGAGGGAGTAAAGAAAGACCAGTGGTGGCGGCCCCGTCCTCCTCCTCCTCCGTGAACCTGCCCACTCCTCCCCTTGTAAACCCTTCCAAGTGGCCAGCCATGTGGTGCCACATCCCGTGGCAGCAGGTTCCACAGATTAACTATATACTGTGTGGAGAAATACTGAAGGACCTAAGTGTGGCCATGTTGGGCCAGGCCAGTGGCCTATCCAGTCCAACACCCTGTGCCACACACACTCTGGAAGTGGATCCGCCCGGTGCCGCCTGGACGGCCCTGCCTGCCTTATTGAGTGCCAGGTCCGTTTCAAGGTGTTGGCGCCTACCTTTAAAGCCCTATGTGGCCCGGGGCCTCTCCCTCCGTGAGCCCCAGGGGACTTCACAGTCATCTGCCAGCCAACATCTTCTGGTGCTCCCTGATCAAGGGCTCTTTCAGCCATGGCCCCTACCTGGTGGAATGAGCTCCCATAAGAGGACCTGCAAGACGGAGCTCTTCCGCCAGGCTGCTTTTAGTGAGGGCGGCGGATGTCCCTCCCCCTCTACTGGGCCTCCCCTCAGTGGGTCAGAACTGTATTACTGTCCAAGGAACAAACTTGAAAGAGGTGGCATCTGTGCGGCTTTAACTACAACTTGTACTGGATGAATGTTGCTGTATTTTATTGGTGTTTTAAGAGTTTTAAATTTTTGTGTGCTGCATATTGTTTATTATCTCTGATGGAACCCGCCCTGAGCTTGCTATGTGGGGGGGGGGGTTATAAATCCAATTAAATAAAGAAATAAACCCAGGTGTCATCAGGGGGTCCACCAGCGTGGCCAGAATTTCGGAAGCCCTCCCACTGTGGCCCCCCAAGCACCATTGCTCATCACCCTCCACTGTGAAAACGGCCCATTTATACTCACTTGTCCTCTTATCCCACGACTGCTGAGTTTACTTAGGAGCCTTTGATGAGGAGCTTTATCAAAAGCTTTCCAGAAGTCCAGGTAAACATCATCTACTGGGTCTCCCTTGTCCACATGTTTGTTCACCCCCTCAAAGAACTCTAACTGGTTAGTGAGACCAGATCTTCCCTTACAAAATCCATGCTTAGTCTGCCTCAATAGTTTTTGTTCATCAATGTGCCTACTAATTCTGTCGTTGATAACGGATTCCACCAACTTACCTGGTATCCATGTTAGACTGACCAGCCTGTAATTTCCCAGATCTCCTCTGGAACCTTTTCTAAAGATGGGGTTGACATTAGCTACCTTCCAGTCCTCGAGGCAGATTTTAGTGATGGACTGCATATTTTTGTCAAGAGATCCACAAGTTCACATTTGATTTCCCACCCCCAGAACTCTTGAATGTATGCCAGCAGGGCCTGGTGCTTTATTAGTTCTTAATTTGCTTATCAGTCGTAGGACCTCCTCTCTCGTCTCCCTTTTGTCTGTCCTGAATCTACCACCCTTCACCTTCAGTGGATGGCACTGGCTTCTACCATTCGGGGGGGGGAGGGAGAGGGAGAAAGGCTTCTCTGTCCACCCTCTCTATATCATGCAGAGTTTTATAAACCTCCCTCCCCTTAGTCATCTCTTTACGAGAACCAGCAGCCCTAAGCATTTTAACCAGTCCTCACAGGAGAGCTGCTCTAGCCCCCCCCCCCCGATCATTTTGGCTGCTCGTTCCTGGCACTTTTCAAGCTCTACAGTATCCGGAACTGGACACAATATTATTCCTAGTGTGGTCTCACTACGAACTTGCGTAAGGGCATCAAAATAGCGGCAGTTTCATTCTTTATTTCTGTTCTAATTGAGGCCAGCATGAAACGTGCCTTTTTCACAGGAGTCACACTCTGCGTTGACATTTTCATCAAGCTCTCCACCACCACCACCCCAACATCCCCCTTTGTTTGTTTCTGCCAGCTCAGATCCCATTAGCACGCACGTGAAGTTGGGATTATTTGCCAATAGGCATCACTTTACCCTTGCTCACATTGAATCGCATTTGCCATTTTAATGCCCATTCCTCCAGTTTGAAGAGATTCTCTTTGCAATCCGTTTTTGTCTTCTTTTTTAATATTTTTTTTATTTTCATACTACAAGACTAACAACTACAAAGACTAACAACACTACAAATACTACAACACTAGACTAAAACCTAAGATATACAAGGATCATATAAAAAGATTAATCATTAGCTTAAACAAAGTTCCCTTTATGTTATAATTATTGGAATGGCGTGGTTTCTTATCGCTTTTCTACCAACTAACGTTTAAAAAATTTAATCAGGTAAGTATGGCTTAAACAATTTAACTTTCGGAGTTATATTATTTCGGTTCCTTTCTTCTAAACTTCTTTTTGTCAAAATTCCATTGGACCTTTGGGACTTTTGGGGCTGCCGCCCCTTTCTCTGGTTCTCGCCCTCTTCTGGATGGCTACCCGTCCTACTTTCCGATCCATATGTGCTGCTTTCTTCTTCACAATCTTTTCCCTCTGCTGGTCTTTTGTCATACGCTAGCCTTTGTTGCTGTTCCAGAAACAGCTTCGCTTTAAAGACAGAGTCCCTCCGATCTTTTTGAGAATCTCATCATTTCCCCCCCCAACAGGTTTATTTTTCTTGATAAATTCTGGATATGTCCAATGGATCATATCCATATCGCTTTATAATACATCCGCTGATAAACCTGTCCTTGGGGCCAACACTTCACTTAAGATTTGCTTCAGATTCTCACCCTTCCAGTCTTTGTTGAATTGCTTTTGACTTGGCTTCTTCACTGCTTTTACCATCTCCTCTGATTTTAAATTTAGCTCTTTCAGCTGATCCTGGTTGTTGAAATTGGTCATCTGATCCAACGGAGGGCGCAATGCAGTAGCTGTCATATTGGGAAGGTGGGTACTTGCTTGCGGTTTAGCAACCGGATGTGCTGATCTTGCAGTTCCAGGAGAGTACCTCAATCTCGTTGCCATCTTTTTTTGCCTGAAAAGTCATTGTTTACAGTTCAAAGAAACTTTTTTGTTTTAAAAGTCACTGAAAGTTCATTTAAGAAGTCGCTTTAAAGAAATCCATACTTTAGTTGATTCAGTCCGAAATCACGGTTGCCTCTAGCCCCTTCCGTCGCTTGGAAAGTTCGCTTAAGGTTGTGGGGGGGGGGGACGAACTCCCTCCCCCTGCTTCATCACAGAACGGGGCTTTGAGGCTCCGGGTGGGCACTTATCTGCATAGCCGGTTAGAGGAAAACACTCTCACGCGTCATTCTGTGCCAGCTGCAGAGGTAGGGAGAGTTCTGAAGTTTCGCTTGATCACTTGCTCGCTCGTTCGGTGTGCGCCTCTTAGTGCCATGATGGCGCCAAGGCAGCGGGACCTATCGGGGCAAAGAGGAACCTCGATTCGTTGGCCTCAGCCTTGGAAGAGGCACCCCTCGCGCCCCAGGCTGGGAGTCCCCTACAAGGACTCCGGGGAGGGGGGGGTCGGATCAACTGACCCCCTCCCGTACGCCGCGTCACGGGCCGCTTCCATCGGAGCTCCATTCAAGTCGCCGAAACTGAAACTGCTGTAATCTGTTTTAACCACCTTAAATGACTTGATGTCATCTGCAAACTTGGCCACCTCACTACTCGTCCCTAACTCCAGGTTATTGATGAAAAAGTTGAAAGGCACCATTCCCAATACAGATCCCTGAGGGGGACCCCACTGCTCACATCCCCTCCACTGCAAGAACTGACCATTTATTCCTACTCTCTGCTTTGTTTTTTAGCTAATTTCCAATCTGAAATTTGCTCAGGAGTCTTTGGTGAAGGACTTTGTCAAAAGCTTTCTGGAAATCTAAAAGAGCTATGTCTGCTGACTCATTCCTATCCACATGTTTATTGATACAATTAAGAACTCTAAAAGGTTAGTGAATCAGTAGTTGCTTTTGCAGAAGCCCCATTTTTTTAATTCAGCAGGGCTTGCCCTTCTATATAGTTGACAATTTTATCTTTAATAATGCTTTCCATCAGCTTACGTGAAACAGGC